AGCCATACCTTCCCCCAATAAAGACAAAAAAGCCCCTGATGATTGAGTGCCTTAATTTGGAAACATGAATTTGGTAAAAGTCAAGGGAGCTCACATGCAGACAACAAGATTCTATTCATGGACAAGGGGATTTTTCTATAAAATAACCATATTGAAAGGGTCATAGACTCACTTAAAAATCTGAAGAAACTCCTATTGCTCCTCACTATAACATATTCCCCTCCCCTCCACATACAACATTATGCACTGTTGCTGGTGGTGAACTGACCCCCGCTCCCCTCCCCACCACCACCACTTCATGTCATGAAGAATGAAATCTGGTGGCAAAATTAATCTTCAGTGAGATCTAACTTCAAAATTCATGTTCTTTCTGTTATGTTGATAAGTGATCTTAAGATTTTGTCTGCTCTAAATCTCCCATTGATGTAAAATTGTGTAGTGATATGTACTTTATATAGGTGTTGTTAAGAGTAAACAGTTACTCGCTCTAAAATGTTTGAAAGTGAAAGTCACTCAGTTGTGTCCAACTCTGCAACCCCATGAACTATACAGTCCATGGAATTCTCCAGGCCAGAATACTGGAGTGGGTAGCCTTTCACTTCTCCAGGGGATCTTCCCAACCCAGGTATTAAAGCCAGGTCTTCCACATTGCAGGCAGATTCTTTATCAACTGAGCTATCAGGGAAGACTAAAATGTTTAGCATGTCATAATCACTCAACAAATATCAATTACTTTCTCTTCCCCAAATCTCAAGTGGGGAGTTGGCAAAATTTGAGGAGAATATGGATTATGATTTTTTTTCCTCTTTTAATCTTACCTTCATTTTTTCCTGCTTCCTAAGAAGTGAGAGTCCTATTGTTAAAGATCATATGTTCTTATACTGTTGGTTGTCCAGCCCATGTCACCATGGAGTAAAAGGAACCAGGGACCATCTGTGTACCCATCTCCACTAAGTGTCCTCACTCAGTGGACAATAAATACCAAGGCCTGGCATTTTGTAGCTTCCAGGTAAATGTTTTATGGACTTCCCTGGTGGTTCAGATGGTAGAGCGTCTGCTTACAATGCAGGAGACCCTGGCTCAATCTCTGGGTCGGGAAGATCCCCTGGAGAAGGAAATGGCAACTCACTCCAGTATTCTTGCCTGGAAAGTTCCATGGATGGGGGAGTCTGGTAGGCTACAGTCCATGGGGTTGCAAAGAGTCAGACTCGCCAGCAATATAGCAGGGAAGGATGGAGGCAGTGAGGTGGGAAGGGAGAAAAGGAAGGAAGAATGAAGTTGTTTGGAATTTTTTTTTTTCTACCATAAATCCCCAAGAACAGAGTCCTTGACAGGCACAAGATGAAGGAAAGCAATGTGTCCCTAAAGACACACTTTCTCCTGCAGAATTTAACAGTGTCTGCATTGAGTCTAACACTTCTTCACTGCTTCCTTTCATGTAACAAGCAGACATGAAAAGAAACAGACTAGGAAAAGACATCTATTTCTAGACCATGTTGCTGGGGTACAATTGATGGGGAAGGTGAAGAAGCAATGCCATTTTCTTCTTCGGTATTATTGGTGATGGAGAAAATGTTGTAAAGTTTGAAGGGGAGGACTGATGTGATGGAAACTCATCCTGGGTGTGGCCTCAGGCAAGGCGCCTCACACATGGAGTTTTTCCATCTGTAAGATGTCAGCGCTGGTCCAGATCAATGGATCTCAATCTTGGTTCTCCAATAGAACCACCCAAGGAGTTTACAACTGTCCCCATGCCCAAGCCGTAGTCCAGACAGTAGACTCACCTTAGGTGGGTCACAGGCATCAGTAGTTTCAAAGTTTCCCAGATGATCCCAATATGCAGCTGAACTTGAGAACTACTGGGCCAGGTGGTCTCTAGACCCTCACTGCCCTAAGTGGTTTTCAACAAACTGCCTGGGCACCACTTGGGTTCCTTTTTGTAATCAAGACTCAGCCCTCATTCCAGAGCCACAGAGACAGAACCTGCATTTTCACAAGTGCGTGCTAAGTCGCTTCAGTCGTGTCCGACTCTTTGCGACCCTATGGACCATAGCCTGCCAGGCTTCTCTGTCCATGGGATTCTCCAGTCAAGAATACTGGAGTGGGTTGCCATTCCCTCCTCCAGAGGATCTTCCCAGACCAGGGACTGAACCTATTTCTCTTGTGTCTTCTGCATGGCAGGCAGGATCTTTGCCACTAGCACCACCTGGGAACATTTTAACAAGAGACCCCCTGGTAATTTGTATTGACATTAAAGTTTGAAAACTCTGGCTTGGACACCCTCCCGCCCTGCCTTTTCATCCAACAGTGCTTTACTTCTGGTGTTGGTATTTCAATATAACTTCTGGATCTCAACCTCAGGCAGATCATAAGGGTTGAAAGCTTTATATGTGTGTTATGTGTATATATTCAGCAAGCACAAAAATACCCCATCACACCTGTTCCATGCAGGGGGCTAAGTGGAAATAGATTGGGAAAAAATAAGTATCCCTGTAAAAAGGGCGGGTGATTTTATGATTCTGATCAAAGATTGCTTTTCCTTTGTAGAATTCAGTAGGGCCATCTAAAGAGCAGTTCTCTTCAAAGTCAGCCCTGCCGGTGTGGTTATTACAAACACCTGCCTCTAAGTGGCGGTTTGTGACCAGCATCTTCTCGCCTGGCCGCACATCATTTCCAGGTTTTCTTCTCTGTTCCTCATGTTTTCTGACCATGCCCTCGTCACTAGCTCTTCCCAGGAAATAATGGGTGCATTGGCGGAGGAGTGTTTGACTTCCTCTGAAAGTTTCCCCTTTCATGTTCCCCTTGTCATGTTCATCACCTCCTTTAATTAAACAAAAGTCACCGCTGAAAAAAACAAAGCAGAAATGGCATCAAAATGCTGAAACTAAAGCTAGGAAGTGGCAGATAAATGTTATGCAAGATGTAATTCTGACCCTTGATAACTCAGGGCTAAGCCGGTGGGAGGTTCGTCATGTTCTAGTAGGACTTTTTTGAATAATGGCGTTTGTGGAGGAGGGAGTGATTTGGGTCTGAATGTTTGGGGAGAAGTGGCATGGGTGAAAACTTAAGTCTCAGTTCAATTCAATTTCTAGATTTTAGGTCACAGTCACTGTGGTGCCTTGCCCACATGCCTCCAGCCTTAACATTTCAATAGGACTTCACCAGTTGGCATCTGCAGGACTAAGGGCTTTCTTTGGCTCAGCTCTCTGCCCTCAGCTTTCTCTGCCCCCAGCTCAGCAAGCAGAAGTCCTAGAATCAGTGCCCTGATAGAAAGTAGTGCCCTTTAGGCAATCTCTGAATTCAGATGGTGTCTAAAAGCTCCCTCGCCTGTTGAGCGAGATCATGTGGCGATGTACAATCTAGGCTGGCTCTGGGTGATGCTGGCAGCCTGACGCTTCAGTGGCCCCATGATAACTTGATATATTCCTGCTGTTGTTTTCCTCCCTTCCCGATTCACTCCCTCACTCCCCTACTACTGTTTTGTGTGCCTGTAGAACAATCTGCTGCTGCTGCTGCTGCTAAGTCGCTTCAGTCGTGTCCGACTCTGTGCGGCCCCATAGACGGCAGCCCACAAGGCTCCTCCATCCCTGGGATTCTCCAGGCAAGAATACTGGAGTGGGTTGCCAGTTCCTTCTCTGGTAGAGCAATCTACTTCCACTCAAATCCTTGCCTTAGCATCTGCTTGTGGAAAAACCCACACTTAGACAAGTTTAATCTTGCATTTGCTTTAAGATACTTGTAGGTATACCGTTCATGCCTTTATATTCTTTCCATTCAATTTTGATATTTTCAGTTGATAGAACTAGTTATGATATGAAGATTTCAAAGGATTTTAGTAATGGCCTTGAAGAGGTCATCTTATTACCTTGTTTATGAGACTCATTGACATCTGAAGTTACCAAGGAGTAAGAAGATGAAAAAAAGGGGTCAGTATAATAGTGGCACAGCCCAGGGGGAGTTAGGCGCTGGTTTCCAATCCTGGTGCTATACTTGTTATCTCTGTGAACTGGAGCAAGTCATTTCACCTCTCTGCCTCTCAGTTGGATGCTTCAAACATGAGGGAGCTATTCACCCCTAACCTATACAGTTGTGAGTGTTCAGTAAGATGTGTGTAAAGTGTTTAGGATAATGCTTGTCACTATTAGCTATGAACAGTTCAAGGCTTAAGTGGTTACTAACCAAGAATACTGAGTCCATTAAGATGTCTTCATGCATAAAACAGAAGATCCAGTGGAGCATGGCTTACACCAGTACAGACGTCCATGGTCTGTAGCAGACATCTGCCATATCCCCATTTTGCATATTTCACTGCCTAGAATTAAGGCATATACCCATTATGTAACCAGGAGTCAAGCTTACAGTCAAGACAAATCTCCTCTTTCTCTATATTTTTCATTTTATTTCTGATACCAGGTCACAGGTGTATCAGATTGTTTGTTATTGCTGTGTAACAAATTATCCCAATAAGCCTCAGTAGCTTGGCTGGCACTGCTGACCATGATTGAGTTTATTCATGCATCTGCGGGTTGGCTGGTATACACTAGGCTTGCTACAGGTCTGCAGTTGACCAAGTAGCTCTGTTCCCCCTGATCCTCATTCTCCTTGAGTCCTTATGCCATTAGTCAAAGCAAGTCACGCAGCCACATCTAAAGCCAAAGTGTGGGACCAGAGGCTCTGCCCACCGTGAAGCTACAGGGTGTGGATGCAGGGAGGGGGTGCAGGAGGGACCAGTCATTCATTCAATTATAACAAGCTGTCAAAACAAAGAACCTCTAAATAACCCACGTGGATGCTCTGAGCTCATATAGCACTGGTGTTTCTACCGTGATTTCTGCACTGGTTATTATATTACAATATCCTCTGGCGGCCCCCATGTCAGGAAAGCTGTTGCAAATGAGCAGGAGAGATCACTTGTCAGCTGAAGGGGTCGCCCAGGACCTGGTGACCTTCCAGCTCTAGCCGCCCATGATTTGCCATCTGGGAAGAAAACCTCGCAGAGTATGAAAGCGCAGAAAGTAAGACAGAAGTGTCTTATTGAGAGAGTGAATGACGGCGGGTGGTGCTGGAGGCGGTTCCCGGCCACTTGTGCACGGCCCGCCCCGCCCTCCCTCGCGCACCCGGAGAGGAGCCGCAGTGCGCCTCGCCGGGGCGCCCCTAGCCTCTCCCGGGCCGCGAGAAGCCCCCGCCGCAGTTGCCCGGCGTCCCCTTCCCGCCCGCGAGGACCTAGCCTCAGGAGGAGCCGAGGCCCGGAGCGGCGGACCGCAGCGGAGGTGGTGGCCCCGGGGCGCCCGGGGTTCCGCACCCTCCCAAGGGGGCGCAGCAGGAGGCACGGAAGAAGGAGGCCCCCCGCGAAGATGCTGCAGCCCTGGGCTCTGGCGCTCCCACTTCTGCTCTCCTGGGTGGCAGGTGGAGTAGGGAAGGCAACCAGGTGAGTGTCTGGCTGACGATTGGCCCCGGGCCATGAGCTTCTCCGCCCCCCACCGTTGGCCCCTTTTCTTTGTCCCTCGTCCCCCTAGGCACCCGTGGGCATGTGTATCTGTGCGCGTTGAGCCGGAATTCAAAGAGGATGTCAGGCTGGGTGCGCCTATGGACTCCCCCGTGCGCCCCTCTGGCGGGCTTCGCAGCACCTCCTTGGCATCAGCTGTGCCCCACCTGGCTGCGTCCTTAGGAGGAGGGAGACGTGCGCGGACCCACCAGTGCGTTCGGACTCGGTGGGCAGCAGACATCCACCGTTGGGCCGGCGTGTGTGTCTGTCTGTGGGTGGCTGTGTTCCGTGCTTGTACCGTCCTGTGTTTTCCACTCTATTGGAAGGGGGCCAACTGATCGTCAGTGGCTAGTTTTGCTGGGGAAGGAGGGAGAAAACCAGAGGACGATCCATGATGAGGGTTTACTGAGCCCTCCATGGGGGGCTGGGGGGCCCTCTACTCAATGCCTTTGTGATTAAGGTTGATGAACTGGAAAGAAAGGCTGGGATTGTCAGATGAAATTGACTCTCTCTTGCCTGGCAATTCAGAGTCTGAAGCTGTTTCTTTACCTCTCACAAACTTTTCTAAGCCTTGAAACATTTTTCCAGAGATCAGCAAAGCCACCTAATAAATACACACTTATAGTGCATCGTGTAGGCCTGGCAGGGTCGTAAACACGTGAGAGATATGAACCCATTTAAAGCCTGTAAGTGCTCTGCCTGGAAGATACTGTTATAATCCTCGTGTTGTAGAAGAGAAAAAGGAGGCACAGAGAGGTCCAGCAGCTTGCCCCAAGAGGCACAGTCAGTAAATGAAAACACCAGCGTTGAAGCCCAGGCCATCTGGTCTGGAGTCCCTGCTCTTCCCCAGTGCTGCACTGTTGCTGTTGTTTAATCACTCGGTCATGTCCAACTGTTTGCGACCCCGTGGACTGTAGCCTTGCAGGCTCCTCTGTACATGGACTTTTCTTGGCAAGAATACCAGAGTGGCCTGCCATTTCCTTCTCCAGGGGATCTTCCTCGCCCAGGAATCGAACCTGCATCTCCTGCATTGGCAGGCGAGTTCTTTACCTTTTACTTTTTGAGCCACCAGGGAAGCCCTAGAACAGCCTTTTGGGAATCACTCACTGAAAAAGTATTCCTGTTTCTCTTGCTTTCCGAGGCATAGCCTAGTTTCTTTCTCTGCTGTGGCACTGTTGAGCCCTATTGGGCTGGGCAGGACAATTATTTGTTCAGGGTGGTTAGAGAGCGATCCTATGTACTGTAGGATTCTTAGCAGCATCTGTAACCTCTGCACACTAGATCAGTAGCAACTTCCCTAGGTTGTGACAATCAGAACTGGGTCCAGACATTGCCCAAAGTACTGACAAGGGGCTGGGGGGGTTGCACATTTGTTTCCAGCTGAGTGAGGACCTCTGCACTATTAGATTTTTAGTCAACAGTTTCTGTGGAGAGCTGGCTGAGAGCCTCGGTTTGGAATGGGCTTCTTAAAGGTGAGCCTAGCTATCTTTGTTTGAATTACAGGAAAAATCTTTCATCAGTGTCAGTCACACCATTAAGGGATTTTGAAGTTCAAATAGAATAAGCTTTAGACCCGGTTCTTAGAATGTATGATCGCAAGTTTCAATTTTCCTTTTCGTGATAAAAATGTAAGGAGATGCAGTTTGCTCATGATCACATTTCCTGGAATGCTAGAGGTTCTGGCATCGCTAGAAAGCCCACTTAAGAGACATCAAGTGCTATTTGGAGATGAGATTAATAGTTGTTTTAGCAGTGGACAAATTGACCTCCAGGAGCCTCAGTTTCAAAGGGCCACCAAATTAAATCAGAAGTCGAAAAGCTCCCAAGTTAAACCCAAGAATATTACAATGGAGGCTTGATGTCAGGATTCTGCAATTGCACAGTTTTAAAGAAGTGAGCTGTGGTTTCTTTCTGTGGTCTCAGGGTCACGAACTGGTACGCTCATTATCTGTGCAACATGCTTGGAAACGTCTCATGCTCAGTTTTTCAGGAACTGCCCAGGGACCAGGTGTAATCACCCCCAGCCCCCAGGTTACAGACGGCACGTGAAAAAGGCAAGGAGCTCGGAGCACGAGAGCGTGTCCACTGGTTATTTCCTGAGGTTTTACGACTTTCAATAAAAACTGACTGCTTTATAGGGATTTCTAAGATAAGCACCCGTTGTTGTATTTTTTAATTGAGACACCATACCTTAATTTCAGTGACCTAGAAGATTATATGCCTCTTAAATGGCGATTAGTGTATTAGTAGTCAATTAATGGAGAAGGCAATGGCAACCCACTCCAGTGTTATTGCCTGGAAAATCCCATGGATGGAGGAGCCTGGTGGGCTGCCATCTATGGGGTCACACAGAGTCAGACACGACTGAAGCGACTTAGCAGCAGCAGCAGCTGTCAATTAACAGTCATCAAGTGAATAAATCCTCAGCAGCATGCATTTTTTCATCTTCAGTGTCAGAATTTGGCGTAAACCCTTTACTTTTATCTTGTATGCTACTTCAAACTAATATTCTAAGTATTGTTGACTTACAGTACTATTTTCAAGTGTACAACATAGTGATTCAGTATTTTTGTAGCTGACACACCATACAGAGTTCTTATAAAGTACTGACTATTTCCCTATGTGATCCCCATGCGTTTTAACGCCATTTGGGCTTTGGGACTATTTAGATGCTCTCAACCTGCTTGGTCCAATACAGTAAATACAGTAGTCACTAGCCCTATGTAGTTGTTGAGTACTTGAAACATAACTAGTCCAAGTTGCAATGTGCTATGATTGCAAAATATATTTTGAAGACTTTGTAATAAAAAACATAAAGCATCTCACTAATCATTTTATATTGAATACATGTTGAAATGATAATGTTGTGGATATAGTGCATTAGATAAAATATATTACTAAAATTAATTCCACCTGTTTCTTTTACAGTTAAAACAATATGGCTACTAGAATTATATTTTTATTGCATGGTGTTAGTCTAGAACACTTACTGATCTGAACTCCATCTCCAGCATTCCAGGTCCTGACACTGGTACCTTTCTGCCTTGGGCACATAAGATAAATATGCTATTAACTTTGCTGTTCTTGAGTTTGATGTGTGGAACAACTCCCTTCTTATATTTATGCAATATACACTTTTTTCTCTATTGAGTTCAAGTAACAATAATGTGAGAGAGAAAGGAATTACTGAGTTCATGTATTCATGGACAGAGGCCTGCTTTCTGCAAACTACACCCTGTTTGAGAATTGATTCTTCTCAGAGCCCTGCTAAGGGAGTGCCACTGTCACAATTTTCCACAAACTTAGTGGCTTAAAATAGCATAAATTTGGGATTTCCCTGGTGGTTCCATGGTTAGGACTCCGTGCTTCTATTGCCGAGGGCACAGGGAACTGATCAAATCAGTTCGATCCCTGGCCGGGGAACTTAAATCCCACACGCCTTGCAGCATAGGGCAGGGGTGAGAGCAGGGATATACATTTATTTTCCTAGAGTTCTGGAGGTTGGAAGTCCAAAATTTGTCTTATGGGGCTAGAACTAAGCTGTTGGCAGGATTTGTTCCTTCAGTAAGCTCCATGGGAGAATCCATTCCTTATCTGTTAGACTTACAGAAGCTCCAACAGTTCTTGGCTTGTAGGCACATCACTGCATCTCTTCTTCCTTTGTCACCTTGCCTTTTCTCTAACTCTTAATCATGTTCCTCCCTCTAAAAAGAACCCCTGTGATTATACCTGGCCCACTCAGAAAATACAGGGTGACCTCCCTGTCTTAAGATGCATAAGAGCACATGTGAAATTTCCCTTTTGTTCCATAAGGTAACATTTCGAGGTTCCAGGGATTATGACATGACCATCATTTGGGGGGTCATTATTCAGCCTGCCACAGGAAGTCTGAGCTATGAGTCTGTTGTTCTTGGTTTTATGGATTGGATCTTATATTTAAACTTGATTTTAATGACTTGTGAGTGGTTGGCATATCATTCCTTTCTTTATTCTTAAAACCAGGGTTTGTGGGAATATTCCCAAAACTCAAGAGCTGAGTGTTTCTAGGAAATTGTGACCATGAAATGCCCAATTACAGTATAGAAATCATTTCTGAGCAGTCTTGTTTCAATCGTTTCATTGGTTTAAGGGGTGTTAAAGTCCTATTTCTATGTAATTTATGTACATAATCTAAGGTTATGTAAACATTAAAATGAATAAGTATATTATCTAGTCTTCATAAATCAGATTGGCATTCAGCTAATTTTGTTGAAACACTATTATGTGTCAACACTTTTTCAGTGTGCTTTCAGTCAACTGTCTCTTCAATCCTAAGGAATAAGTATTGGGTCTCTTTGACAGACAGTGGGATGGAGAAAATTTAAATTAGATAATTCCTCAAGAACTGCATTGGATTTGGTCTTCTGCCCTAACAACAGTGACATTCCAATATTTCAAATTTGTTTCTCAAGAAAAATTGAATACATAAAAGCTGACGTTCTTACAAAGTACTTTCTCACATGTTATCACCAGTGAGCCTTTTGAGCTTGATGCTTGCCCAGCACCATCAAGGGATGTGTGTAGAATAAGTGGGGAGTTCCTGGTGCTGCATTCTCCCAAGCCCTTCCTCTCTAGGTTTCCATTCTCTCAGAAGCAGACTCTGAGACCAGAATTCAAACGTGCATGGTTTATTTGGGAGGTTGTCCCCAAAAGTTCTAGTTTTAGTAGGACAGAGAAGGGAAAGACATGTTATGTAAATGAGTTACTATTGTGATTTAATTCTGCTGGGGAGTTCTAGAAGACAGTAGGGCCCAAGCCTTAGAATGATCCCCGCTGAGGCTCAGGAGCTGGGGTATCTGTGCTCCCAGCAGTCATTGGTGGAGGGCCTCAGAGGATGCCGAGTCTACGTGTCCAGCTTGCCATGCTCACAGGCAGCGTGGGCTCTGTAAGGAGCCCTGCATGTCTGGGTAAGGAATTTGAGCTTTGATCTGAGGGCAGTAGAGAGCAAAGCAGGGCATCACTGGCTGAATTCTTTAATGATAACCCCATTATTTCCAATTCATGCTCAGAATTATCACACAATTGCACAAAATAATTTTTAAGATAATGAGCAATAAGTTAGTTTACCTGGCAACATTTTTTTCCCCTAGTGTACATAATAATAGTCCATAGTATCTCAGATTTGATTAATACAAATTAAAAATCAAAATCCCAAAGCAGCAAATACCTTTATAAAGATTATCACCTTGTCCTTCAAGTTTTCCCTTTGTTCGATTTCTGGTCCCCACATATATTACAGTTATCTATTGCAATTC